AATAGGCAAAGATTTCTTAAACAGGACTTTTAAATTTGTTCTAGAGTTTTAAGTAGAGAAAGAATGGGGGAACTGGTTTATTTTAATATAGGCATCTAAATTTTTTTTAAATGTTAATATATAGTAAAGTCTTTTACTCTGTAAATCTCAGGGAAAGGGTCAGTATTTATAACTAAATCTTCTAGGTGACAAAGTTTGTGCTTTCGTAACTATATTGGGTGGAATTCCTTAAAAAGCGTCAGGTAGTTCCTTGCCTATTTTGACTAGTACTAATGTTAAATCAACTTTGCGTTCTAGGAATAAACCCAGTTTCGTTAATACCACATTTTCATTTTATTTGCTTAGAAAATTTGGATCTTTGTTCTTGAGTGATATTGGCCTTTATTTTGTTTTCTTGTACTGTCCTTGTCAAGTGAGACAAGGCCTTGTAAAATGAGTTAAGGAATATACCTGTTATTTCTTGTTTTTTAGATAGTACATATAATAGAGATCATACAGTATTTGTCTTTCTGTCTTTTTTTACTTAGCATAATGCTCTCCAGGTCCATCTGTGTTGTCACAGATGGCAAGATCTCGTTCTTTTTTATGGCTGAATAGCCCACTGTATATGTATACTACATTTTCTTTATCCGTTCATCCATTGATGGACTCTTAGGTTGTTTCCATAACTTGACTGTTGTAAATAATGCTTCAGTGAACATGGGTGTGTATTAATCTTTCTGAATTTGTGTTTTCATTTTCTTCGGATAAATACCCAGAAGTGGAATTGCTGGGTCATATGGTAGTTCTATTTTTAATTTTTGAAGAACTTCCATACTGTTTTCCGTAGTGGCTGCACTTGTTTATATTCCCACCAACAGTGCACAAGGGTTCCCTTTTCTTCATATCTTCACCAGCAATTGTAATGCTGGCCTTGTAAAATGAGTTTGGAAGTCTTCTCTCCTCTTCTATTTTTTGGAAGAGTCTGAGAAGGATTGGTATTGGTCATTCTTTCTCCTCACTAGTAATCTGTCCAGATTTTCTATTTCTTCAAAATTCAGTCTTAGTGGGTTGTATATTTCTAGGAATTGGCATATAATTAATTGTTCATTGTAGTCTCATGATTATATTTCTGTGAAATCTTTGTAATGTCTTCTGTTTTATTTCTAATTTTGAGTCCTCTCTTTTTTCTTGATGAGTCTAAAATTTTGTCTATTTTGTTTATCCTTTCAAAGAACCAGCTCTTAGTGTTGTTGCTCTTTTCAGTTGTCTTTTTCATCTCTTTTATTTCCTCTCAGGTTTTTGTTATTTCCTTCCTTCTACTCACTTGGGGCTTTGTTCTTTTTTCTAGTTCCTTGAGGTTTAATGCTTTGTTGTTTGAAATGGTTGTTTCTTGAGGTGAGCATTTATCGCTATGAACTTTCCTCCTTAGACTTGCTTTTGCTGAATATATAAATTTTGGTATGTTGTATTTTCATTTTCATTTGTCTCAAGGTATTTTTTAAAAATTTGTCTTGATTTTTTCATTGACATTAGTTTTTCAGCAGCTTTTTGTTGAATCTCCACATATTTGTGAATTTTCCAGTTTTCTTCTTGTAATTGCTTTTTAGTTTTATACCATTGTGGTCAGAAAAGATGCTTGATTTTTAAATTTTTTTTACAACTGTTTGATAAATTATATTTTTATAAAAATTTGTCCGTTATATATTTTGGATATTAACCACATGTCGGAGCTGTTGTTTGCAAATATCTTCTTCCATTTGGTTGGTTGCCTCTTTGTTTTGTTGGTGGTTTCTTTCGCTGTGCAGAAGCTTTATAGTTTGACATAGTCCCATTCACTTATTTTTGCCTTTACTTTCCTTGCCTTTGGAGTCAATTCATAAAATTTCTCTAAGAACAAGGTCCATAAGTTTAGTACCTGTGTTTTCTATGTAATTTATTGTTTCAGATCTTATATTTAGGTCTGTGATCCATTTTGACTTAATTTTTGTATATAGGGACAAAGAGTATAGTTTCATTCTTTTGCATTTGGCTTTCCAGTTTTCCCAGCACCGTTGATTGACACGGCTTTCTCTTCTCCATTGTATGTTTTTGGCTTTTTTGTGAAAAATTATTTGCCCATATAAATGTGGGTTTAATTCTGGGCTCTCATTTTATTCATTTATCAGTTGATGGACATTTGGATTGTTTTCACTTTTTGACTATTAGGATGAATAATGCTGCCATGAACATTCATGTACAAATTTTTGTGCAGACATGTTTTCATTTCTCATGAACCTTTTTTATTCTTTTTTAAAGAAAAAGTTTTTTTATTTCAGAGAGAGGAAGGGAGGGGGGAGAGAGCGAGAAACATCACTGGTGAGAGAGTCAGATTGGCTGCCTCCTGCACGCCCCCTGCTGGGGATTGAGCCTGCAACCCTGGCATGTACCCTTACTGGGAATCGAACTGGGATCTCCTGGATCCTAGGTCGATGCTCAACCGGTGAGCCACGCTGGCTGGGACCCTTTTTCATTCTTGATGCTGGGTTTATGTATCTTTTTCCTCTCTTTTAAAAAAAAATTTTACTAGAAGTTTAGCAATTGTAGTAATTTTTCCAAAGAACCAATTGTATGGATGTTTTTCTATTTTGTTAATATGTGCTTTTATATTCATTATTTCCTTTTACTTCTTTAGGGTTTATTTTGCTTTTATTTTTCTAACTTTGTAACGGGTAGTTAGGTATTCATTTGCACCCTTATTGCCTTCTCAACATGCATGTAAAACCACACCTTTCAATTTGAAGTATTGTTTTACCAGCATCCCATAATTAAAAAAAAAAAAATTAAAAAT